GGGAAGATCCATTAGCTGGATCTATTCACCAGGGGAGGCCAGCTGACATTGTTGTCAGAAATTCCGTGCAGACCCAACACGTGAAGCAGTTGCTCACTGCTGCCATCATGCCAACCCATTGTAGAAAGGTGTTGCCTACAAAAAAAAAAAAAAAAAAAAAAAAGATAGGGTTTGGAGAACTTCCAGGTTAGGGAACCAGGATGATTCTGTGCCACTGGGCTAGCCCTAAACTCCAGGAGAACAGCCCTTTTGTTTAGAACCTTGTTCTATGTATCTCTTCATCTGGCTGTTGATTTGTCTCCTTTAATATTCTTTATAATATATCAGTTATCTAGTGAGTAAACAGGTTTCCTGATTTTTGTGAGCCACTCTAGCAAATTAATTGAACCCAACAAGAGGAACATGAGAACCTCTGATTTATGCCAGTCAGTCAGAAGCACAGGTAACATCCTGGACTTATGGATGGCATCTGACTATGAGGACTGAGCCCTTAACCTAGAATCTGATTTTACTTTCAGGTAGATAGTGTCAGGACTGAGTTGAAGTTTAGGACACTGAGCTGGTGTTGGAGGAATTGCTTGTAGGAGTAAAAACCTACACACTGGAATTGGGTGTTATGTAGTGGCTTGATATGATTTCAGATTCACGTGTTTGTAACTTAAGTTGTTTTAATCCATGTGTTTATGGCAAATACACACACACACACACAAAACTGGTTGTTTTTAGAAGTTGTTTTAATATAAGAATGAAGTAAATTGTGTTAGGATGTCACCATTTCATTCCTTGTCATCGACAAGCAGTCAACAGCCCAGCTGCTGATAGGCTCCTAGAGGATTATTGATAAGAACACGTGGAGAAGCAACTATGGTAAGGAGACATTTAAACTACAAATACTGAGAGTTTGTGAGGACTATCCCAGAGTTTTCAGTTTGGTGAAACACTTTGCTGACCTAAACAGCTGTTTAAAGACCCTTGGGGGATTAGCTCCTGAATTGGAGAGGTACTCTTCCACAGTCAGTGGCAAAAGTCACTCAGTGGCCCTGCGGAGATCATCCTGCCTGCCAACACCAGCACCGTCATTTCCTAGAGACGTGCCCCAGCAACAAGTGACTTTTGTTTTTGCACTGGCAGCTGTAAGTCTGCTGGCGGTCAGCTAAGCCATCTCTCCTTAGTGCCTACTCATATAAGAAAGTACAGCTCATTTAAATTTGGGCTTTATTACTTTCATCTCTCCTTGCCTGGAACAATAATGTAATTAATCTATCATTACTTTGGAGTGTTATTTCTTTATTGGCTTATTAAAAGACATTATTTTCTATGCTATTGGCTTATGAAGTTTGCACAATGAACCTGTGTTAAATAAATTGCTGGAAAAGGCAAACTCAGTCTCTAATCATAATTTGCTGCCCCAAACATAACAGTTGTAGAATTGAACTCTATTTCCTTAAAAATCGAGCATCCCTCAGGAGAATAATTTATTTAGCAGCATTTCTTGAGTGCCTATGAAATATGCTGAGCACTGGAAATGCAACAATGAGCAAGACACAGCTTTTTAGGGGGAGCCAGACTAATGGTGAGGTGAACGCCATGCAGCCACTATGGGATTCAATACAGGCCCCTGAGGAAGCACACAGGAAGATGGCCTAATCAAATGGGGGGAAGAGGGAAATTTCGAGGACCAGTAGGTTTGTGGGGGTTTGGGAATGGGAGGAAAAGCATTTCCGGAAAGGGAACAGCACGGTCAAAGGCTTAGAGGTGATAAATGATATGACCCTCAGGGGAATGCGAAGGTTAGTACTTCCCAGGTCCCTAGAAGTCAGGGTGGGCGCTAAGGTAGAAAGGAGAGCAGGAGAAGATAGTAAGGGCCATATCAGGAAGGGATGTGGTTCCATTATAAGGACAATGGGAAAACACTGAGGAGTTTAAATCAAAAGAGTGATGATCAGAAGTGGGCGTTAGGGAGGTTAATCAGGGTGTGGTAGAGAGTGAGTTAGAGGGGTACGGATTCGGGGAAAGAGGATATCATAGTACCGAGGAAGGGTGATGGGGGATGGCCCTGGGATGGAGACAAGCAGACAGATGAGAGAGACCCAGGGAGGCAGACAAGTGAGGGCATTGAGAGGAGAATTTGTGATAGGAGTT